TTAATTTTTTATGCAAACACTTTCTCTTTAATTCTGTAGACAGAAATTCTTGTTCAATAGCAAAGTTGCTTGGGATTTATGAAAAAAAAAAAAAAATGAGGAGGAAGCAGTGAAATTACTACAGAAAAAACGGATTTCTCTTTGCTGAAAATTTTGTAAAAATAATCCTGAAAGGATGTGTTTTACCAATTACGATACATCAAAATAACGTTTCGATCTTAGATCTTGCCCAGAAAAAAGTCTCAGATCTTGCATTTGGTTTGAAGGATCGCATCTAAATTTCCTTAGAGCTGTAAAATTTATGTACCTTTGGTACCATGGACTGACCTCAATTGAGTTTTGTAATATGCAATACAGTTGTTGATTGGAACAATTATATGTGGAAATTTTTTTAACCATTTTATATCTAGGTATGCCTCATGCTTGTTTCTGAAGGTCTGTTAATAAATGTTATTTTATCAAATCGTAGTTGATTTCTCATTTAAACTACAACAGTGCACAATCCTAAATGTTGAGAATTATTTCTTACAAATTTTAATTTTTATGAAAATTGTTACCATGGACTGACTTCAATTGAGTTTTGTAATATGCAATACAGTTGTTGATTGGAACAATTATATGCGGAAATTTTTTTAACCATTTTATATCTAGGTATGCCTCATGCTTGTTTCTGAAGGTCTGTTAATAAATGTTATTTTATCAAATCCTAGTTGATTTCTCATTTAAACTACAACAGTGCACAATCCTAAATGTTGGAAATTATTTCTTACAAATTTTAATTTTTATGAAAATTATTAAAAAATATATAGAAACATTTATCATGCCAGCAAATTGGTTTGGTTTATTGAGATTATGGCAAAGCACACTAGGGCTATCTGCCTAAGGGAAGGGATGCCTTCGTTGAGGACTTTCTAAGGGAAACTGGCTCGTATACACGTTACACATGGGAAAAACCACGAAAACACCCATGCAGCCAGCCCGTTCGCGGGACTCGAACCTCGGAACAAACTACCAGCGTTCAGCGACTTTACCGCTCGGCCGCTGGTGGTCACCAGCAAATTGGAGTTAATGGCAATCGTATGGACATTGAACAGGTATTCTTGATGGACATAAGATTTACAATATAGAAGCATTTACTGCAAGAGAAAAATTATTTCTAATGTGTTAGCTAAGTAATTTGACAATTGTAGCGTTTAAATATTAATTACATTAGCAAAATGACAATTTTATGTGCTACCTCTCTTGCAAGAAATATATCTCATTTTAAAAGCATGAAAATATTTTAAGAATTGTTTTTAATATTTTTTCCCCTCTTATTATACAGCAAGTATTATATACACCATAAGTTTGGCATATTGTTGCTATTTTAGGTTATGTGCTATTAATATGCACTATGCTCTTGCAAGAAATAACTACCTTAAAATTTAAAGTTTGAAAATTATGGCAATTATTTTAATTAATAGTGTCAATCTGATATAATTACAGAACAATTTTCAAATTTTAATTAAAATCAGATTTTTAATGCATAATGAAAGCAATCTTTCAATGAACATTTTTATAAACAAAATGGTATAAATCAAAGAACTATTTACGATTAATTTAAATGGAAAACGATTCTCGGATTAGGGAAAAAAACTGAGTTATCAAAGATCTGATAGTAAGAGATGCAATTTTTTTATGCTGAAAGAAGAACGAGGATCATTTAGTAGTATCTTAACCATTGCTTGAGTGTGTACTGTTCCTATGATTTCTATGCCTGTTTGCTCACAGCACTGGCAATTCAGGTTTATATTGTGTTATGGTTAGCATAAAATATTAAAATTTATACATTCAATAAACAAAAATGTGTCTTCATACATGATCAAAGCATTTTGGAAAAACTATGTTAGATCAGTATACTTTCTTAAAATTAAGGCGTACATTTTTACAGTCATTACATTAAATAAAAATATTAAATAATAATTTCACTTTTTCATTCTAGAAAAATGAAAATCCATGCTTTCTTTTATAACCCTTAGTTCTTTCTGAGAGTAAATTTAAGACCTTTGTAAAAGTCTTAGAATTGTCTCTTTGTAAAAAGCAAAGTTCTGTAAAAGCATAAAGGATTTAGTTATTATAGTCATATAATTCGGGAATAATAATTTCCAAATTATTAAAAATATTTATTAATCCTAAATGTTTAATTTTTAATGTTTAGGGATTGAGTGGGCTTTCTACTAAAAATACAGAACTTGCCATTGTTCAGATATAATATAATTTTTTCTTTCAAATTATTGAGGTCACATAAGAGATTTTTCAAGAATGAACCAAAAAAAATTTTGAGTACAACATATATTTTTGTTTTGATGCACTGTATTCATATGATAAATCTGTATTTATTTTGAAAAGCTTAGAAAAAGAATTAAAGGGGTGCAGGTTGGTGGCATTTAAATTTCTCTTCACTGTGTAGCATTTGCGTATATATCAGAGCTTAAATTCCGCCGGAGCCCGGCTCCGGTATTTCTAAGTTTTCGAAATAAATTATAATTTCAGCCGGAGCCCTAAATAAAAGAGCTCAGGCACTTTTTTTATGCAAGTGAACCACAATTTTAACACAGAAATTTTGTTTTAATAGTAAACATGTCTTAAAAATCTGATTCTAACTTCTGAATGCTTCCTGTCTTTCCATCGTACTCAAGCTTTGCGCAGAGGTTAAGACTTTTGAGGAAAGAAAAGCTCCCAATTATATGTCAAAGGCTTATTCTCCAGGATATGCAATGAATTTATGAGAGCGGGTAAATTTTGTATTCCTCACAGAACTAAAAGTGACAGCCTGATCGTGCACGTTCCATGCTAGTGACTTCCTTCTGCAGAGCTGTAGACTTTCTAAATGATGTAACCAAACGGGGGGACCACTGCTGCCACTTGTACCGAGAAGTCTTATGTTTATTCTCACGTTGTATTCAGGAAAAGTAATCAGGAAAAATTTCTGCTTGACGGTTAGAATTATATCGACAGGGCATCATGATCAGAACTTTTCTTTATCTTCAAAGCTACACTTTTCAGTTAATTTTTTTTCCATACTTTCATACTCTTTCTAGAATTCTCACTATTCTCCTTAGTGGAGCTTTAATCGTTTTATCTTTTTTCCTTGGTATGTTGCAAAAAAAAAAAAAAAAAAAAAAAAAAAAAAAAAAAAAAAAAAAAAAAAAAAAAGACTGATACTTGTCATCCTTTGGAATATACATTTTATGTATAATCAGGGCTTAAACTCAGACGGAGATTGGCTGAGCTGCTTCTTAGCATCTATTCCGGACAGTGCCTCAAATAAGACGAGGTCCGATACTTTTTTTTCTATTTAACTATTCAAAATTAATTTAATAATTTATTAAATTTCTCTTTATCTTTACATTTTTTTATATTTAATTAATTAAATTAATTTGATAAAATTAATTAATATTAATTTAAATTTATTAATTATTAGCAATTTTAATTATTTATATATTTTTTCTTTCCTTCCTCACACTCTTCCATAGGGCTCCGGCACTTCTTATTTTAGAAATTAAGCCCTGGTATATAGCATGGAACAATAAGTCCTCAAGAGTTAATGGGAACGGAAGAGGGGTAGATGATCTTTGGATCTATCTCCTGGTCATTGTTTAAAAATGAGATAGAGCTGGGCAAATTCATATCGTCACCTATAATGTGTCCAAGGTTTAAACTAATGACTGACATAACCAAGTGCACTCTTGGTCAATGATTTCGTAGACGTTTCTGATGTTACTATCAGAGGAGTCTGTGATTATGTTTAGAATTTAACTAAATCAAAAGTTACTATGTGTTATTAATTGCCTCAACATTCAATTAATTTATTATTAAATAAGGAATTAGTTAAGTGATTTTTCCTATAATCGTGTCTGAATAATTTTTATATTCTGAAGCTGTCATTTCTATATACATATAGAATTTATAAATTTATTCATTATTCCATAATGTAATGGATGAATTAATATGCTTAACAATTGCAATCTAATGTGCTTTCAGCTGTTGCAAAAATGCCTTCAAAGCTTCTTAACTAGGGTAATTAAAATAATGCCGATATCTTAAGTAATATTCATTGTACGAAATATGAGGTACTGAATATCACGAAAAGTAATAAAACATATTGCCCACTAGGTAGAACAATTCTATGTTCAGATACATGTTTATGAGACTGCCTTTATCGTCACCATTTTGACGGTATTTACTAACAGTGAACTCTATGGATGTATAGCAGATAAAAATATTATTAATTGTTATTTTATCGGCATGAAAGTAGTTGATGAACACTTCTTTCACCGTATCAGTTGGGCGTAAGCAATTCCACGCTTCAGCAACATCACATCGATATGTTTGCCGAAATGAAACTTTAATCAAAGTGCACAGATTCTTTTTTACATACTCATCATGACATCTTGTATATTTATTATATTTTTTAATTCTGATATGCAAAGCAGCTAAACATTATTTATTTCTGAAACAATCCTCTTTCTTATTTAGTCTTGCATGTTGACACACATAATCTTTCTTTAATATAAACTTTGTCCTTTCCGATTTGTATTGTTTTGTTTTGGAAGATACAATCCAATGCACGTGGGAAACAGCTTCAAAATTCCAATTCTCCCATCTATCTTCACTATTAAGATCACATCTGATCTCAAAGTCGAAATTCTCTTTTCCTCCGAACTTGGAAGATACTATTTCGTAGGAATGTCTATCAAGTAAAATTTTATAAAATTCATTTTCCACTTCGTTTGACATATTCGCAGCCAAATTTGAAACATAAACCGACAGCATGATTTCCTTTTGCGCATGCGCACAATTTCGCCAAGACCTGATAAATCGCCAAATTTAGTCGCGGGCTGCGTTTCCTAGGGAGGAAGTAAAAATACGTCAGTAAGGCTCCTGTAGATCTCGTATCCAAGTAAAATTTAACAGAGCATTTTTGGCAACAGACTCGCATGTGTTTGTTTTCGTAATGTAATTCAAAGTGCGTGTGTGGATGTTTATCGCTTTTGAGTTTGACATGTTAAAGATTCAATATTTTAGGAGTATCATCAGTTAAATACCATAAGTCTAGCCATAATCCGTACGAATTAATATGTTTACTTAAAATATGGGTTTTAATTTTTTCAATATATCGTAGCGGCCTAATACTTTTTTAAAATTTCTGACATCGTCAATTGTGCGTTTTTGACTTTTTTATTTACAACTTAAGCAGTTATAATTTTTGTAAGAATAATAATTATTAAGTAGTGCTGTGGATCGTTGACTGGTGATTATATTGCAAGTATCGGATATTAGGCTGCAGATTTCTTCCTGATAAATATTACGTTGTGACATTAGGTTAATATATTATAAAATGCCACAGAGAGTATGAAAGCTTATTTAGTTACTAATTGAATAATTCGTAAACTAAGTAAAGTGTGAATTTAAAAATTGAGTGTGCCCGGACGGATTGGGGGGGGGGAAATTATTTTTATAGCTTCTTATTTTCCATTATAGTTATCATATAAATTTATATATGAATTTCCTCTCTGTAGCAAAGAGTTCCATATGTATTAGCTTTGAAGAGAGGTTAAAATATTAAAGTGGATTCATCCGATAAAAATTTTGATTTGATTTACATGCTAAATTTTACTTCATATTTATTATTTTGCTTTCAGATTTTCATTAAAAATGAAGTATCTAGAACTTATATTTTCCCAGTATATGGACAGAGTTTACATATATTTAATTAATTAAAGTTTCATTTAATTGAAATGTAGCTGATGCATAATTTGCATGGACCATGAAGAATCATAAGCAGGTCACTTTTTTAAGGCATTGACTAAGTTTCCTCAATTTATGAAATTATTTCGTGGATAGTTCAAAATATCTTATATTTAAATCTTTCCTGCCATATGATTCTGTCTTAGAAGAATAGTTTTGTTTTAATTAACAAATTCAGAATGAAATTTTAAAATATATTGCTTTTGTTTATTATATATAATACTTAGTAATTGTACGAGTCCCAAACTATATTGCAATGAAATCATCTAATGAAACTGGGAATATAAGAACTTTCCTGGGGAAAAAACAGAAATCATTTGAATTTCATTCAGTTCATGAATTTGAAAGCAAAGATTTAAAAAAAGTAATAAAGCCTTGTGCATCAGCTTCATTATTATCTGGGAGAGGAAAGCTGATGCTGCAGCAGCAAAATTATGAAACTTTCTCATCAGAATTTTCTCGACAATCTTTTAAAATTTATGGAATGGAAGACCAAAAGTTATTTCTTTCTTCATATCAAATATTAGAAAAAATGAATAAACTCATATCTAAAGTTACTAATATTAAAAGTTACAGCTGTTCTCATGAGAATCATCTTGAATGTGCATGTGCTCAGATAAGCTTTAGAAAATTAATTTTATACCGTGATAATCTGAAGCAGCTTCTAGAGGAAAGATGTACATTAATATTAAAAGAAGAATGTGACTTTTGTGTCAAGGAGAGTTTGAATATGATTTGTGATTTTAAGCATATTTATATAAATGAAAAAATGAAAATGACATCTCTTCCTATTCAGTCATTTAACAGATTCATTGACAGTTCAGACTTGAGTATTTCAGTATTAGAATTATTTTTGAAAAAGCTGCAAATGATCTGTGATTTACATTTATCTCTCAGCAGCAGTTATCAAAAGATCATTAATTTTTTCCATGTTAGTTTCAGTATGGATTTGTATCAAATAGTTTTAAAAACCAACAAAATGTTGCAGAAATTGAAATCTGAGATATTTTATTGGGCTCATAAAATACTGGCCATTTATATGCAAAAGCTTTGTTTAGCAGATCCTAATTCAGTTTCACCAAATTTTTTGCAGGACGTTTTAGAAATTTATAAAGTTTTCAATGTAATCATATCAGATAATGAAAAGGTTATGAGACAAAAATATTTGAAGGCAGCCAGTGATCTTTTTTATGATAGTGTAGTGCATTATGAATGTAAAAAGTTGCCATTTAGTATTATGCTACAGTACCTATCTCTATTTGAAGCTAAGGTAGCAGCAGAAAGAATTGTTCAATTTTTAATTGGTATGTGTAAACATTTTAAGCTAGTAAATTTCCAAAAGAAAGACAGTTTTAATCATGAATGGGTCAAAGTAGTGAGTGCTACATCTGATTATTGTAGCGGCTCGGCCAGTGATGTTATTTCAGAAAATGTGCTTGCTGAATCACCAAAACCTGTATCTAATTTTCTAAATGTCCTGTTTTCCTTAATGCAGCGAAACCAGTCTTTCGTTTTAAAATATTTGTATGCTATTATGAATGTAAAGAATATATCATCGCATAAGAGTAGAACGAAACATTTGCATGAAAAAACTTCAAAACTTAGTTCAGGTTTGCAGTTTTTATAATTTCCTAACAAATTATCACTTTGTCGAATTAAATAAGTTACAATATTTTCTGTTTTGCAGTTCGTCAGACTTGGAGCTTGCCACTACAAGTACACGAAGGGGACAGTTACATTCATCTAGAGGAAATATATTGGTCACATTTTTGGAATAATACTGAAAAATTCATCCTGAAACTCCTTTTACAAGTTCCATACCATCAATATGGGGCAGCTGCTGCTGGAGCAATTATTTTATGGCCAGAATCATATCGTAATTACATCATACACATTTTACAAATGAGTATAAAAAATGAAGGTATTATTAAGTTTTTATTACTGAATATCTTTACAATATACAAAAAGCATTCAAGAAAAAATTAACTGAAGGATACTAGGAAAAACCAGAATTTCAGGCAATACGTCCAAAGTGTCTAAAACGGCCTGCCATTTTCTTTTTTTTTTTTTTAATTTTTTTTTTTTTTTAGAATTTCTGAACTTTCTATCAACCTTTTCTGCTTCGATTAAATAATTATGATATGATAGGATGGAAAAAAGGCTTATATGATGTTTAGACTGTTTATTATTTTTTGAGTTACATATATCTCATCATATTTTGTAAATTCTGTGTTAATTCAACATTTTAGGAAAATCTAAATGATTATAAATATTGTTAGATCAGAAAGATATTAAATAAACTGTATTTAAGTTTCCAGAACAGAAATGAAAAGTTGAACAGTTCCCAGAAATGAAAATCATAAATTTCAGCCCATGGGAACAACGCTTACTTTACTACTAATCCTCCATTTTGTATCACAATGTTTCATTCTTCATCTTCCTTCCCCTCCCTAAAGTGCATAATTATATAAGGAACTACTGTCATATATGGATCAGATCGGTGAAAAATTTCTCGCCAAACATTCTTGGCAAGAAACCCCATGATTTTACTTATATAATTTTTTTTTAGATTTCAAACTTAAAGCAGACTTGCCAACTCTTCCGATTTTCGACCGCTCTCCCGCCAACCCGATTTACAATATATTTCTCCCCGACTTTTTCTTATTCTTAAAATTTCTCACGATTTTTATGGAACTTGGCTTAATACTTTGTTATATGAACAAAAAAAGTGATTTTGGACGTCCAAAGCAAATGAATTTTCTCTAGATTATATCTAAAACAAAACCTTGCTAATTAGATAACTTCTGCTTTGTGAGTGAGAGCATATACGTATCCAGAAACGTCCTTCTCCAGTTCTCCAATGGGCATCGTGCTCCACTGCGTGTCATCTGGCATATATTAGCCAATGAGGACAAAACAAGCTGTTATTTGGATGTTCTTTAGTTATTTCGGTTATTTTGTCCTGAGTTGTGTGAGTACACGTGCCTTTGGGAAATAGTTTTAGAAATTATCATCTTTTGTTATGTCTGCGAGAAAGGTGAAATACTCTTTTACGTTTCAAAAATCATACACAGTTAACTTTCCTTCCATTATTTCCTCAAGGAAATGTAATAAATTTGCGATATGTACCGCCTGTCATTGCGATTTTTCGATTTTGCATGGTGGAAGGGCGGATGGTCTCAAACATGTGCGTACACAAAAACACAAGGGCAACATGAGCTGTTTTGGAAAAAAAAAGAAAAATTAAATTTTTCTTTGGAAACAAAAAACCAAAATGTTATTAATGCAGAATGTCTCTTCTCTGCCTTTTTACTGGAGCACAACCTGCCACTGAATGCATTGGATAACGCTGCAGCTTTATTTAGAAAAATGTTTCCTGATAGTGAAATCGCTAAGAAATACTTAAGTGCAAGAACCAAAACAGGTGCAATTGTTAAAGAAATGGATTTCGAAAATAAATCTTCAGTTATTGATTGCATTAAAACAGCTCGATTCTGCCTCTCTACGGATGGAAGCAATAATACCGATTCAAAACTGTATCCAAATGTTGTTTCTTTTTTAATCCAGCTGTCTTCAGGAAATTGAGTGCAGTTTACTTTCTGTCCCCACTTTAGAAGGACATTTGGCAGGCTTTAACAGAGCACAACTAATTATTAAAACTTTAAAAGAAACTGCAGTCCCTCTGGATAATTGCTTAGCACTAGGTGCCGATAATGCACCAGTATTGGTAGGCTTGAAGACTGGTGTTGCAGGCATCTTCAGAAAGAAAAATTCAGATTTGCAGATTATGAGGTGCACCTGTCACCTCTTAAATTTAGCAGCTGAAAAAGGAGTAGCTTCTATACCAATAAATGTGGATGAACACATTGTTGATATTTATTATAATCTTGAAAGGAGTTCTAAAAAAGAGGAAAAATTGAAACAGGTCCAACAGCTGCATAATAGCAGTTTACAATTAGAAAACTTAGATGAAGTTATAAAATCAGCTAGGATTGACACCCAGTGGAGTTTAATTGGAAAACTGAAAGATGCTGATGGAATTTTAAAATATAGAGAACTGTCTAGAATTATGTTGGCCATCTTGACAGTTCCCCATAGTAAGGCAGAGTATGAGAGGATTTTCAGTGTTGTGAAAACGAGGACTAAATTTAGATCTAATATTAGTGATGACACATTAGAAAAACTTTTATTAGTGAAAGCAGGCCTATGTGGCAATTGCTATGAATAAAATTATGAAGTTTCTTTCTTAAAGAAAGCAAAATCTGCCACTGTTTATACCATTTGTACAAAAACTGATTAAAGGTTTTTTTTTTTTTTTTTTTTGTTTGTTTTGTTTTGTTTTCTTAAACGATGCAAGTAATAAAAATGTTTTTTATGTGCAAGGTATTTTTGTGTTGCTTGCATTTAAGAATTAGTTACTATTTAAAGTTAATTCATTATTAAAAACTATATTTTCCTCATTTAAAAAGTCTTTTTAACATTGTGAAAAATCTGATTTTTGAGTGTCATAGGTTGGCAAGTATGTTAAAGCCTAAAATGTCTGAAAAAAATGCACTTTTTGCACATGATTTATGCTAAAAGTCCAAAATAAAAAACAAAAAATTAAGATAAGTTTCTCACCAAAAATGTTTGACGACAAATTTAAACTAAAATAACAACAATAAATTAAAAAATTAAAAAAAATAATAACACAAAATTAAAGCAATGCAACAATTAAAATAAATCTCTACAAAATTAAAACAATAAAAAGGTAAATTCACTTACATTTCAAAGTAGTTCCCAAAAAAACCAAAATATTAACTTCAAACAAGAACTTGTAAGGGCAGACATATCACATATATAATCCAATATACTTTCATTAATAAAACTATGTCAATTGCATAAAGCATGCAAACCAAAATGCCATGACTTAGCTATGTAAGACATCTTTCTACGATTCAATATTGCAAATGTTACATTAAAAATTTTCTCTAAAGTCAACTTACTGCAGGTAAACCAATTTCAAACCTCAAACTTTGTTGAGAACCACGTTCTTTACCCTCAACAATTTTTCTGCAAATCCATCAGAAACACCATTTTTTCTTCTGAATCTTCACATGTCAAGTTCGCCTTCAAGAAGCCTGTATCCCATAAAAATTGCAAAAATACACTTCTGTCAGCATGGAGACAACCATGAACAAATGCTTCATTAAACAACATATCTTCTAGAACTAAATCTAGCTCGAATACACTCTAAAACATGTGGCTGATATATCTCCGAAACTTCCTTCATACACCATTATTCAACATGTAACCAAACAACCACCACCACAAAATACAGCTACATTCCTCACAAAACGTTCCCCATAAAAAAGGTTGCCATAGAAACAAAATCTCAACTAAACCATCCAACACAAATTATATCGCCATATTCAGCGACCACACGTATTCCGGGCCGTATATGACATTTTTACCTTATAAAATTTATTTGACTAATGTAGCCATGATGTGAATAGAAGTATTTATAGATTTTAAGTTACTTCTCTTCAGAGATATATCTGTATTTGCTACTACATAGTCCATGTAACATAGTATTTACTGGAGTATAAATAATAAATTCATTGTTAAATAAAAAGAAATGGCAGTTAAGCACTATACTTCTGTAAAATATAAGCAATGAACTTCAAGAACTACAAATCAATCAACGTACAATAAAAAAAAGTGCTCTTCATTTTGTTCTGTTTGTTGTTTCATGAGGTATTGGAACACAAAAAGGCTCTATTGTAATGTTTATATGTCTCCTTACATAACATATTTTGCAGATCAAACTTGCTGTTGTTAATTTCTTGCTAAAGATTTTTGAAGCTTTACTTTTCTTTCATTTCATTTTATCATATGTTTATTATCTTTTATAGATATCTCTCCTGAAAGCAGAGTTGTTATGAATCAAATATCAAATTACATTTTTGCTTATTCTTTGCAAATTTCCTGGGATAGAGGTATATTTCAGATTTAAGTATTTATTTTAGTTTTTTTATATTAAGAGATTTAAGAAAAAGATTTTTTCCCCCCTCAATGTGTATTTTTCAGTTTTTGCTGTTAACATTAATTCATTATTGTGACAGTTTTTTTAACAACTTTTTGGCAATTAATGAATAATAAACACAATTTTAATTTATGTTAATACAGTACAAAGTCCGTAATCCGAACTCGTCAGGACTTTGGCGATTCCAGATTTAGGATTTTCCCGGATTATGGATCATCAATTTAAATCTGGTAAGATGGCATGCAGAAATTATACAATTAAAAATATGAAACCATAATTTATGAAATAAAGAGCAATTATGATGTAAACAGTGTCAAAATTTACAAAAAAAAAAGCTTAAAGCTTAATATTTATTTGTTTACTTTATTAAACATTTCTTTCAATGTAAGTTGTTAAAGTTGCTTCATTTTTTTACTAAACATGCATGCATAAACATTAAACGCGCATGCGTAAAGCATACCAAAAAAGTTTGTGGCTTTGAGGTCAGGATAATGGATGTCAGGATTACAGACTTTGTACTGTATATATGTAGTGGTGGGAAAAAATGATATCAAATTATTTTTTTTTTTTCTTTCAAACCAAAATGAGTACAAATATTTTCAGATCAGAAAAATATTAAACATATTTTAGTAGCATAAGCAAATTGTTCAGAAGCTGTTGGCAAAAAAAGAAAAATACATTGGAGCACCGTTTATCCGTTTCTAACGTATACGTCTTTAACGTTCATATTGGTCCTGATTCAGTACTATTTATTTTAAGAGTAAAATTTTTCTTTCATACAATGTATAACTTATGCAATAACAATGTTATATGCTGTTTTTGCTTGACTTACTGCATTGATTATACATTTCGCAGTCCGACACTTAACGCGTTTTCCCCCAAAATGGAAATAGCAGAAAGAAATAAAACCATGAGATATTACAAACAGGTATAAGAAATAAAAATCACAAGAAGGCATTTCATGAATAGAGGTAATGCTTAGAAGATTTTTTTTTTTTTTTTTTAAAAAAAACAGACTGTTGTGTTAAGTAAACTAGGTGGAGCAGAAGTACCTGATACAAAATGTCACAAAAGCGAAAGGTGCTCTTGTTAAAAGATAAACTTCAAAATTTCAAAGCATTTGATGAGAATATTGGTTATCAAATGCTTTGAAATTGGTTTAACCAATATTTAGAATTATTGGTTTAACCAATATTTAGAATAAAGTTGAATTAGAAAAGAAACTGGATATTCCTGCGGCAGCACTAAAAACAAACGATTTTTTATGACAGAAGAAAAGTTGAAGAAAAAGCAGAAAATTGTGGACATTTAGCTTCAAAGAAATTCCATGTTCAAGATGGAAATTTTTCTCAGGTCGAAGCCATATTGCTAAAATTTTTTATTCAGAGTTGGGCATTCAATATTCCAGTGAATGGCTACATGTTAATTGGGAAGTAAAAAAAAAATAGCACTTTAATTGAATGTGAAGGAAGCGTGCTTCTCAACTAGATGACTGCATTAATTTAAATTGCGGCATGGCATCTCATGTCACATAATAAATGAAGAATCAGAAAGAGTTCCTACTGAGTTGGTTGAGTTCAAGACAATTTTAATGTTGTTGAAACTGCTTTTTTCTTTAAAATTATGCCTGGAAGAGCTCTAGCTTTCAAAGGTGACCAGCATTATGGAGATAAGCAGAATAAAGAATGTCTCAAGGTTTAACTTTCTGCAAATGTTGACGGTATGCGAAAAATGACTCCTTTAGCTATAAGAAAGTCACAAAATCTAATATTCTTAAAAAGGAATTTGCCATTAGAATATAAAACAAATAAGAAAGCATGGATGACTAAGGGCATATTTTCAGAATGGGCCACCCAGACAGTATAGTGGTTAGAGTAGCCTGACTGGAATGCCAAAGGGCCCAGGTTCGAATTTCGGAAAAGGGATGGATGTAAAATTGTCTGTCCCTTCGTAGAAAGGTAATAGTGGCTGCCTTTTAGGTGCCTCCACATTAAAATGGCTACCACTTCTGTCCTTAGTAGTGACCATATGCTAAGTATTGTATTAGTATATTTACAGATTTTCTTAAAAGAATAAATAAAATTTTGAGGAGACAAAACACTGATTGAAAACGTTTTATTGGATGAACATTTACATAGCTGGGATGAATAAGAAAATGAAGAAATAATCCCACCTTCTTTTCAAAATCTAGCTACACCCTCAGAAAGCTCTTTGTGTGTAATAATGTAAGCGAGAAAATATTTCAAGAACTAAATTCAATTCATAGCAGTTAACTTAAGATTCAGTCAGTTGAAAATTAGACTTCTTTATTTAAAAAAAGTTGAGAAAGTTTGCATTAAAATGTTCTTGGAAAAACATTTTTACTTATTCAAGATGATACTTGAAATAAAGGTATGGCTAAAGTGCAGGATCGCCCCCTTATTTGATTGGTGTTTGTTTGGCGCTTTTTACAAGTGTAAGAAGAATTAAATTTTTGTCAATTTTCTTTGACTTTTTAAGTGAAAATAGGTCAATGTGTACATGGATAAAGTCAAAGGAGTGTGCAATGCCGTTTTCGTGCAGTTCTGGGATGTTTTTTAAGTGAAAATAGGTCGATGTATACATGGATACCGAATATGTGCAATTCTTAAAAACGTGCCAAGCAATAGGCGATTCTACACTTTTCCCCAAAGGTATGTCCCCTTTTTTTTAAAATTTTATTTAACTACATATAGAAATTTGCATTGCTATAATTTTAAAAATATTAAATATGTATTAATATCATTTAAAAATTTAATTATAAAAAGTGTTTTAAATTATTTAATTGTTTAAATATTATTAAGTATTTATTTAAAATATTAATATGTTGGAGCATAGTTAAAAAATATTTAAAACACATTGAAAGTACGATACAAAATACAAATATCCGTAGTAGGTTAATAGTATCAAAATTGTTTCAGGTTATATACATATGTTTCACATCATAAATTAAAATTTTGTTTATCCGTCTTTATCATTTATATGTTTGTGAATGGTCCCTTAAAAGATGTATAAACAGTGCTCCACTGTAATAATAATCAAAAGCAGTTTTACCTTCCAACAGTATAATACTAATAAATAAGCTACTGAAAAAATATATGCATGTACTTATTTTATGTGAATGAGATGAGACATTGGTTTTCACCTCACATAGTGAAAAAGGCTGCCTTATGTGTTTGATCCTTATTATAAGCATTGTAATCAATTTTGAACCAATACTTAAATTTAAGGAAAAAAATTGTAATCATTGTAAAATTGCTTAGGAATCTCACAGAGCTGAAGAGAACTTTAATAATAATTGAAAAATTAAACATTAAATAGTTTACGACTTCCCTATTTCTGATAAACCATAATGTTAGATACAACAGTAAATGTACACCATTTTGTCCATTCATCAACTCATTTCTACCTAAATAATCTCTCGAAAATTTAAACACAACCAAACAAGTTTTATTCTACCAAAATAATAATGTTTTACAGCTGTTGCCACTCAAGCAAAACTAAAAAGGAAATTAATGTTACACTGGTTGAATGTAGATGAACAATGCTATACTTTACATACTCCCACCTTTTGATAAAAGGATTTTTATCAATACAAATATTGAATTAAACTAAAATTTAACCTAAAAGTCCATTTTGAAGTTCACTTAAAAGTCGATTTTAATGTTCAAAGTCCTTGAACCTAGAAGGCACCTTTATAGCTCGATCACTTCATCATCTAATCTATAGCACTCATTCAAATAGTCATTAAACGTTTTACCATCTGGATCAAAAACTGGTTTAGCTTTAGAAATTACTTTATCAAACAAAGATTTTCTTTCTAACCTTTATCCTTCCTGTGTGAGTTGACTCAGTCATTTCTTTCTTAACCTGTGATTTAGAATAAATTTTGGAATTTGTAATCTCAACACCTGATGTTTCAGAAGCACTTTCTTCGAGTTGTTCTTCACCCATCATTTTTACTTGATCCAATCCAATGGTTCCAATCTTCATTATCGATTTCCTCATCATATGAAAATTTTGGACACTTTTGTTCTTGAATAGCATAATAATCATCATTAAAGAGCTCTTTCGTTTTCTTGTCAAGTTTTTCAGGTTCAAAATCACTTTCAATATCTTCATTAAGTTTCAATTCATTTTGACCAGGCACTTCTTTCAACTTTAAAAATTTGTCTTCAAGTTCTTTTCTCGTTAAATCTTTCAAACGTTTTAGATCTTTTATTTTCTGCTCTTTCTTCCTTTTAATTCTTTCAACGTATTCTTCACGCTTCTTCTATCTTTTATTATCCACATGTCTGAGAGAATCTTCAATCATCCTTGGATATCGTGTCATAAATTTTGAATCCGGCTCTTCAAATCGGAAATTATACTTACGTTCAAGCAATTCTTGCTTCTTCATATCTTTTTCATCATCACTTAGCACTGCAATATCTGTTTCTTCATAAGTCGGAGTCTCATCGTTTTTATATTTACCTTTACATTTACTTATCACTATTTACTATATACTATTTCTTTTTCTTGACCTTTCTAACATTTTAAATAGTCAGCCTCTGCATCGTCTCTTAAACTTGCTATAAAATGATTGTTTACGACCTTATCAATTTCGTTTCTAGATTTCAATTCAAAGGGATCTGTAATGCCAATGGCTTCTAATTCCCAAAGATTTCTGATATCTGGATTGTGAATTAAGAGGGAGGCAACAACAGCAGCAATAGAATTTTCACCTCCAGTTGTTGGTGATTTACCCATCAAAACCCACTTGAGCAGTGTTTCCATGGCAAAAATGTCTGTACTTGATTTCTGTATTTTTCTTGTATAAATATTTCCTCCAAAGTCTGAGCCTATCAAAAGATCAATCTGTGGGTTTATACAATCAACATCTGTGATATGAATTCCCTTTCCAGCTAATTCTGATATCCAAGGTCCTTTTCTGTAGACTAGGTATAGATCCACAAATTATAGGCTGATCTAACACAGGAATCTCGCAGCTATAACCAGTATGCAGATTCTCAACATTTATTTTATAACATTTATGATTCATATCAGATGTTCTTCCTCCAAACACAGCATGTGTTAATTTTTTATGAGCTTCTGATCTTATTCTTAAGGATTCTACTGTTGATTTTAAAATATAGGAGTAGTCAGATCCAGTATCGATCAATGCTCAAAGATGAAGTTTCTTTCCTTTATGTTGAATGGCAGCCACTAAAGTTTGAAGCAAAACTCTTCCTGAAGTCCCTGTTGAAGAAAGAGTGCTAATTTCACAATTTTCTTGATTGCACTTGACAGGAACTTTTGATTCCTGCTTAAATTCTGTAGTAATATTGTAAAATAAGTAAAATAAGTAATATTGTATTCTGGAATTTCTTATTATGATAATTTATTTTATTAATTTATTTATTTTTAATCTTGTTTTTTTAAATTCTCAGTGTGTCTATAGCAATGAATATCGCTTAACATTGGTCGGTGTTTAGTTTATTAATCTGTTTGCCAGTTTTGCTGTTTTGTTCCTTATGCATTGCTATTTATTTCTTCCTACATTTAAGCTTACTAATAAACACAGATGTAAAAAAAAATTAGAATATTTTAGTTGTCAAAAATATTCCAGTGTACTCAGGAGTTTTTTCATTCATGGCAGCCCACAAGTTTGGCATTTATTTTAAAATTGAGTTAGCTTAAAATCATATAACTGTAGTGAATAGAATTTATGTATCTATCAAGTCGAAACTAATTATTTTATTAATATGTGTGTGCAAATAGTAGATTATATTATTTTGTTTATGAAAAATTTATTTTACAATATAAGTTAGTGATGTATTTTTTCTGCAGTTTGGGAGAATTTTAAGGAAATTAAATACTTTTGCTGTGAAAGTTAAAAATAGTTTTATTAAATTAAAAAAAAAAAAAACTGTAATTGTTCAGTTACTTTTTGAACCATGTAGTAAATTAAGAACTTAAAAATTACTTTTTGAATTTAGAAATCTGAAGAGTTTTAAGTCCGAAATATTAAGTAAACTAGTAAAAGCAATATTTTTATTTTTAGATTTTTGTTTATCACTTTCTGCTGTGCAGGTTGATAACTGTGTGCCTGTGCCAACAGTGCAGAATGAGATCAGAACTCACACTGGAAATTTGTTTTCTGATTGTTTAACACAAGTTACTAGAATTTTGAATAATGATGTTCATGATATGGAACTACTTATTTATTTGAAATGTAAGTGAAACTATATTATTTTTATATAAATTTTGCTTTAGATTTTCGGAAATTCAAGTTTGGAACATTGAAATTTATATTAAATAAATGTAAAGTTAAAATTATATATATATTATGCTAATATTATATATAATAGTAATTATATCTATCTATCTATATAGTATATGAAATTATTTATACACATTTATTTATGTATTATTTATTCATAAAATTATTTTAAAAATTAACTGAAAATTCTATGTTAAAGAAGTGGAGTAAATTTGAAATTGAAGTTTTTTAAAAGTCAGTGCAATTTAATAGTAGAATGTGATTAAAGAAGAGCAGGTTATGATTAGAAGTAAATTATAAAAATAGATGATACCTGGTAATTTCTGATTTTTTCAAACATTGTATTTTATATGATAGACAACAGAAATGTTTTTAACTTATTTAATAGTAATTAGACTGAAATTCTTGGAGATAACTGCAAGATATAAGCGTTATTGAAAAGAGTGTCCAAATGCATATGGCATTAAATTTATGAAGCACTCATAATGGATTTGTCCTTAAATATTTTTATGATAAGAAAGATATGTGCATAAAATGGTGATAATTGAGGTACTGATTTATTTATTAAATAAGGTCTTATGAACATTGCACATTGAGTACTCAGAAAATACAGTTAAAAAACTCTTCTTGTTTTATTGAATCACCAAGATAGCATGAAATAAAAATAAATAAAAAGTTAATAGAATGGTAGAATTAGACATAGTATGTGTTATTAAAACTTTAGGGAGGAAATGAAGTATGTGACTATGCAATTCAATTCGCTTATACATATAAGATTAAAATGAAGATGTGAGCATTGTTGACTTGAAAATCAAAAGAAATTTTTAAGCAGTTTAGTAAATTGATGTATTACTATTGATGTATTTACTTTGCTATTATTTGTAGTTATTCGATACTGAATTGTGAGCAAAAATAAAGTTCTGTTACATTTTTAAATCATGTAGCCCCATAAGGGCAACAGAAAATTAATAAAAAAATTGTAATTTATTAGCCAGACATAATATAGTATTGTTGGTAAGAATTAACACTGTAGTCCTATGAAAGTAGTTAAAATCTTTTCTGACTGCAATGTGCCAAACTGTTTTCCCTAGAATGATTAAGTACCAACTTGATACTTCTAGTAAAGAAAACATACTTTTGTCATTAGCTCATTTCAGGTACAGAAAAACTGTTCTAAATGTAAGATAAACAGCTCTTAGGTTAGTTATTTCAGTAAACATCGAATAATATAGAAATCGCTCACTTTTCTAACACCTTATAGTTGTACTTGAATTGTGTTTGAAAACAAAAGTACGGTACAACTCTAATATACGCCCTAATTTCACCAAATGTGGCGATATGTGTTCTGCGCTGGTTTTTGGCGCGATTGCGTGTTCTATGGCAACCCTGTTGACGTTGATCTTTCGCTAGAGCTCGTTGCTTTGCCTCTGTGTCTGAGAAGATGGGAGGGAAAGATAAAATGGTAGTTGTTGAATTGAAGTTCGGCAAAAGGAAATATGATTGTGGCTATCCTGTTGAGGGGTAGTGGGTATTTGGAAGTGTGGAAAGAGGGTCTGGGAGATTATTTTTAATGGCAGTGCATGATAGAAGTAGGGATTTGTGATTTTATTTATTTGTGAACCATAGTATAAATTTTCTGGATAGTGTATCTGGCTGTCATGTAAATACGATAGTGATTACGTGGTGGCATGTTAAAGGCGGTATGAAATTTATATTTCTGCTATTCGAAAACGCATTAATTCATGGTAAGTGCATTTTTATTTTATCCTTGTTCTTATTTTGTAGAATGTTATGTTCATTGGTTCTTTAGTATGAATTTCTGTCGTTATTGTTGTTTTTTTAAATTGTTTGAAATTTATTTTAGTTTATTTTGTTGTTTAGTGTCTAGACTGTACAATTCGTAGATGTTTTTTAAAGTTGAAACAGAAAGCTGTGTACATGGTATTATTTTAAATTTATTGTTGTTATGTTATTTTATTAAAGCGAGGAGTGCGTAGATCGTAGATTCCTTCCTTGCCTAAATTGTGCAATTCGTAGAATTTTTTTTAAAGTTTAAACGGGATGCTGTGTACATGGCATTCTTTGAAATATATTGTTGTTATGTTAATTTATTAAAGCGAGGTGTGCATAGTTTGTAGATTCGTTCGTTGCCTACATTGTGCAATTCGTAGATGTTTTTTTAAGTTAAAACATGTCGCCGTGTACATGGATTCTTGTCAAATATTTTTGGTTAGAAACTTTACGTTTTTGCTATCTAAATTTTTTGTTTTTAACTAAATTCTGTGTTCAAAACGTAGTTTTTGCATGTGCGAAAACCGCATTTTTGGAGACATTTTAGTCTAAAAGTTCAAAATGTAGACAAAAAATTTAGATAGTAATATGGCAGCGTGAAGTTTCTCGCCAAAAATATTTGGCGAGAAATTTGGCGACTTGAGGGCGCATATCAGAGTAGTTCCAAAAGTACTTTTATAAGAGATAAGAAAAATGTTTTTAATTTAATAGTGGCCAATGTTAGCACATATGTCTTTCTGTAGAAAATTTCTTTGGCATGTGTTGTCATGCAACAGAAAAGATCGTATGTTTCCTTACATTATAAATGTGCAGTTATCTTTTTAACACAAGTTTCAGTTATTTTATCAGTGCATATTTTTTATGTTGTCCTACAAAATCTAAATTTTGAAACATGTTTGACAAAAGTATATCAAATTGTTAACGTGAAAGTTTGGGACCTGAAGTTAACAATGAATGCAGTTTACAAGTTCATCTGTTTTGATGAACTGTAAAATAGCAAAATAACAAGCATCAACAAGCACATTTCATGGCATTGTATCCTGTCTTTCAGAATTTGTATGAAGGACGCAAAAAGATGATCATTTTAAAAATGCTCTGGAGGACATTAAAAATGTTCTTTTGTTTGCTTAAATTGCATTGTGAACATTAGTCATGAAAGTTAGAGTAAAATAGAAGTAATCTCAAAAAGAGACCTTATAAATCATGTTTGGAAGTAGTTTGTGCCTATAACAAAAAATTAGGTACTTACATATTAACATCTTGGTGCTGTTTGGCGACTTTTTACAGATGAAAAGTTACTTACTGAATGCGAGTTGGTGATTTTCGTGCCCTTTTTTGAGGAAGACACATATGAAAAAAGATACAGAATTGAACATATGGAAAGAAAACATATTTTAGCAGTTTAAAACACAAATTTAAATTTTTAAATAAGGATTATGTGATACATTAAAAAATAAAACAAATTTTTCTTAAAATCTTTCTGTAATTTTGTTTGCACTGCACTTCTCCCAAAGTACACAGCGATCTGTTTTTGCTTTAAAAAAATCACAGAATTGCGGTGACTCCACTTTGTGCAATCCTCGGCAGCAGCAGCTATCGAGGAAATGCATGTCCTTATTGTTCTCTTCACAAGATTTTCAATAAAATTCTGTGTCCCTGTGAAAATTTTATAGCACCTTCCATTGCTGGCAGATTCCACAAACTCTTATTTTATAGCGAAGGCAAAAAATATATTTTGTTTATAAAAACTCTTGGACAATGGAACACAACACAAGAGAATGTACATGTAAATGGCAGCATTGCTCGATTGGAAAATGGTTGCTGGAAGAATGGTAATGCATATTGTTGCCAGATTGTGGCACATTCTCAAAATTTGGCACCTTCTACTAAGGTGGTTGCATTAATACTTAAATACTAATAATTATTCTCATTTGGCAAAATATCATTCGTACTTAGCTTACAGAAACTTTCTAAAGAAATTTATACCACTCTTAAAAGTAATTGGCTGAAAGAAGTGGATTTCAATTTTAGCTAAATTTATAGCAGAAGGATATTTTGCATTCATGTAGAGGAAACTGAGACTTCCATGTAAAGCTTACATGACACCTGCAATGTATATGTTTCTGACTGTAATGTGTATTAAATGCTTTTTTATTTTGTAAGTATAGTAGATTTTTTTGGGGGATGGAGTGTATTTCATATAAATACATTCTTTCTTAGTTAAGATTTTGTAAAAGTGATTTAAGAATTAATATATCATACACATATCTAAAATTTATTAGATCCTTGTGTCTAAATTCCAAAAGCCTTTCATAGTCTTCCTGTTTTAACTGTTTCAAAAAGCTTCCCATCGTAAACACCAAACTAATTCAGAAGTTAACCTTCCAGCGGGCGCGCCTTCTGCACCAACAAGAAAGGTCGCGCGTATTTCTTAGATACGCTATTATAAAAATAAATTTTCCAGAGCAAAAATATTAAAATTAGCTTGTAAATAGTTAAATGTTAATAAGTACAATTGAGTTAAACAATATTAAATTAAGGAAAATAAAATAAGTATAAAGAAAAAAAAAACAATATAAAATGGACTAAAGACTTAAAAAACTAACTTGAAAGTAAAACAAAATTAAACTGCCAATATTTCAATTGAACTTTTATATTTTTAATCAGTAAGTGAAAAAACACATTAAATATTACATAACAAATCAATTTCATAGTCACTTCATTGCATCGGTGCAGTCTGAACAAATATGTTTACAGTGCTCTAGACAAATGAATTTTAAACAAATCTCACAGATGAACCTCGTAATTCCAGGATGCTTGTCATTTTGGCAGGGTTTACATCTTTTTTTCCCTGAAGTCATTTCTTCAACAACAGCTAATTTTGCTTTTCGTTTCAACAATTTAAATTTCAGCTCACTTTGAAGAGAGTTAGGGATTCTTCTTTCAACGTTTTCCTTCACAAGAGCATTTGCTAGCTTTCGCAGATATTATCTTCTAAGTAATTTTTCACTATTATTCGTTGAATGAATTATGTAGCTGTTGATTGCTGCTATATTCAGCATAGAGAAGAAAACTACAAGAGTCCACACCTCCTTTGGTACGATTGTAAAATGTGATAATCTCAGGCTTTATTTGGTCTTGGGTATTTTCATCTATTGCTA